CGAATACCAAAATTAATGGGCAGTTCAATCTCTTCAAATTCCTACAATTGTAGTGCGAAGTAAGTGATGTTTGAGAAATTGTTTGCGAGTTTATCGATACAGTCATGTCACAGCATTTGGCTATACAATACATGCGTGGATCACGTATATAAGCGAGCAGAGGAACTGCAAGCGGACAAACCTCCGAAGAAGCAGCTGAAAACTGATGCTGAAAGAAATCGATGTTACCGAGACAGGATAAGAACGACTAGAGACAACATTGCTTTATCTACTGGTTGGGATGCTGGAGAAGGGTCTTCAAGATAAGGTAGAACATTTGACTATATCCCTTTGAAACAAAGATGTACATTGTTTGTAACGTATTAATTCGCCAAGAACATCAATTGAGGACTACTATGCCATCGCCCTTCACCAATATGTTCACCAATCGATCCAGGTGCAACGCATGAGCACCACTATCATCACCCACACCCCTTACCATCCCTATCCAAAGGGAGAGTTTGGTAAAGAGAGATGAAAAAACCGATTTGTACACTCCTTAAAAGTTGTCCTAGCTCGCTATTCTAATATCTATATGAAATCTTCACACTGCCGTACTCTAACGGAACTATCAACTCTATGCTTTCATCTACTCCATCTATCGTTTAAAAATTACCACTACAGTCTGTTTTGTCAATTACTGCCACTCGAATTTTGAAACACAATAACGTTTTGATTTTTTTTTAAATTCAGTACCATAGGACATGTCTTATCGTTGACACAAAATCGTATTCATGATGATGCTTCGTTTGTTTTTCATGTGGCTGGTATTAGGGAACATAAATAATACATGACATAGTCGATCATATCGTTCGAGAAGTTTACAAATCATTCCCAACTATAACATTGAAATAAAATAGTAATTTGACTACTAAACTTAACTAAATTTGAAAAATCATCGGTGGAAATCTTCAATTTATGGTTATGTTGATGACTTTCTTGGTAAATTGTTGTTTTAATTATGAAAATGTTATCATTATAAAGTTTTTTGTTAGCTCAAATATTGCCGCTAAATTGCAGCGAAATATCAAGTTTTTTTTTATATAATTCTCAACCGGGAAATTTGGCTTTTTTTGTTGCGAATTCCAACTCTCCTACTCATTACATATTGACCTAAGTTAAGAAGTAATGGAATTGGGTTGTTATCGGAATGCTTATATAAAACATCAATAAATGGTTATCAATTTAATTCCACTTAATTAGTTTTGGTATCCACACGGGAACAAATCAAAAATCCGAAATGAGAAAATGACTCATGATTTCATGAACATAGCGTATTTTCATGTTATGAAAATACACAATAAATAATATTCATGACATCATGAGCTATGGTTGCGTAACACACCCAAGACTCCCAAAATCATGAATCATCCGAATTAAAATCATGAACTTAATTCATGAGTTTAACTTACGAACCTTACGATCATTAAACCCATACTTTGAACACTAGACTATCAGTACTTATATAAGATGGAAGGCAAAAGGCGTATAAGAGATACCTATGTAGTGCGGTGAGCACGGTTTTCCAGGTAATGCTTGAAGCAGTCATGATTCCGCTGAATTTCCATAACGAAATCATGAATCATTGTTATGATTTCATGGGATGTCAAGTTTTTTTTTTGATTTCATGGTTTTTTTATTCATGAAAATGGAATCAGATTTTTTCCCGTGCATGACAGATACGTATTTCGATTACAATGTGCAGTCTTCATCATCCACTTAATTAATTTTGGCATCCATTACAGATACGTATTTTACCTAGGGGATGAGTACTTAAGGGGGTTAGTTTTTTGAAAAGTCTTTAGTGGGAATGACACTGATGAAGACTGCACATTGTAATACGTATCTGTCATGGATACCAAAATTAAGTAAGAGGAATTAAATGGAAGATGTTTTATGACCAAAGTAGTTACTTGAATAATCTGAATTTTCAAAATGAAATATTCAGAGCTTCCGAAATATGGTCTATGAACTACCATTTGTGTTAAGATGTATCAAATAATTCGACGGTTTTCTTAAAACGATGAACGTTTCACTAATTTTCCTTTTGTTTCTATAAGTTAATACTTCTGTTAAGTCACGTGGAGAGGTAGTGGTATTTGCCGTTAATAAATATGGATGCTTGTGTTGAAGAATTAGTTGGATAGTGAACCCTATTGAAATTATTCAGCTAGAATAGATTTGTCTCTTTTTCCCCAATGCAACACTTTCGTTGCTTATCAACCTTATCAGCTAGAGTAGGTAACGCAGATGAGCCAAAAGGCCTATTGAAATCGTGTTCCTTCTGTTCTCTACACACTCTCTCTGATTCTGATCGTATAGATATAAAAGATAGCCAGAAATCAAACAAGTCAGTCAAAAATATAGCTTCAAATCGAACGCATCTACCGTGTTATTCTTACAAAATAACAGGCGAGCAATAAAAAGTCAAGTAACCGTTTTCAACCCCCCCAGTTTCACCGCGTAGTGTTAGTCGCAAATCCGAACAGCTTGTTCACGAAGGGTAGGAAGGAGTCTATAACCACTATTCAGTTTACAAAACAGACACCAACCAAAGGCCCTAGCTTCTTCATTTTTTTTTTATATTTTATGATGCATCCATATTGTTTATGTAAAGATTATGATCCAAAAAATATTAAACATTGCTTTAATTATTGATTGTCAAACTCAAACCCATAACTTTTTTAATTAACATTCAAAGTAAGTGGATACAACAAAAGCATTCGCTAAACACCATACGAATTATATTCTATTTCACAGTTTTTTTTTTCTTTTTGTTTTCACGTAAACAAATGCGATTTTTTTTCATTTGACTCACTACATAAATAGTGTAAGCGTTTAAGTTGAAAACCTCATCCGTTACACTTGTCAAATCACTAAATTTGAACGAAACAACAACACATTTAATGTGTTGTTGTTTTTGGGAAAAAATAGAAGATACTGATAAACAAAGCACACATGTTGCCTTTGACTCGTGTGTGTGAGAAAGTTTGAAAAAAATCTACCGATGGGATTTGAACCCACGGAACCCATTCAGTACACGGGAGCATTACCAATTATGCTAAGGTGCACGGACGGTCTAGAACATGACGTCTCCCACTTCCTTAATTGTTTACTCTTACCTTGTGCTAGCACTACTCTTCGTTTTGTCTTCGGGGCCCCTTCACCTGTCACTGCCGTCGTCGTCGTTTTTAAAATTTGTATGGCCGTGGATAATTGCCAACCCCCGTTAACTGTCTTGAATTTCAAAATGGCGTCAGACATCGATTTCCGGTTCTAACACGTCAATCCTATTAAAAAAAAAACACCCATATTGTGGGGTATTTGACAGAATTTCCAAGTTTTTCTGTTACCGGAAGCCGCCATCTTGGATTTCAAAATGGCGTCAGATATCGATTTGTACACGTAACCCTGATTCCGAAAAGACCGATATTGTGGGGTATTTGACAATATTTTTATGTTTTTTGACGCACTAATTCGATTTACGAACCCCAGGTTTGGTTCGTAAATGGAGGTTCCAGTGTGCCATACAAATTTTAAACCATTTGCGAGACCTCTAAGCCTTCCTCAATCTTTACTATTTTTCGCAAAGGCTCATATTTTGGGGTTATGAAACGAACTGGAGGGTGGCCTATAAGAAATTTAACATTTTTTTTTTTTCAAAATAAAGCACTCCTCATCCGCTAGCATAGCTGCTTCTTCTTCTTCTTCGCATTTCAAGCTTATTGCATATCGCATATTAGCTTATTGCGTGCTCTCAACTTAGTGTTCTAGATGCACTTCCACAGTTATTAATTGAGAGCTTTCGATGCTTGTACCATTTCTGCATTAATATAATTGTATAGCAAGTACAATCATACTCTTATATGCCCAGGGAAGTCGAGAAATTTTCCAACCCGAAAAATTCCTAGACCGGACCGGGAATCGAACCCAGCCACCTCCAGCATGGCCTTGCTTTGTAGCTGCGCCTTTACTGACTGAGCTAAGGGAGGCCCCAAGGAGCATAGCCATACCTATAATTAATTTATTTATTTATTTATTTCATAAACCGATGTAGACTAATACAAGTGCACATACAAATTTGTTTTTCTTAAGAATATTTAAAAAATAAAAATGGTCTGCTATTCTATTTTTACTTCTCACGAGATATGATTCCGTATGGAGTTAAAATATTGTTTTAGTTTATGCCGAGACATTGAAAAGTCAATGGTTTCGCAGTATTGATTTTAAGACGTCATCATGCAATTTTGCATAATTTGTGCGATGATGGGTTATGGCAAATAAATTTCAATTTCTGAGTTGTAGAGTAGGTGCATACAAATTTAATTTTGATAAAAGTTCCCCTGAGTTAATGCACTGCGAAACGATATCGTTTACAAACGAAACCATTGTATATTCACGTCACTCTTTTAATGTTTGTAATTGTATGTTTATAATCATGCAGCGTGCTTTATATAATGGAAGAGGAAATGATGTCCAACCTAATTTACGAAGGGCATATAATAGAAATTGCTTTTGTACTGATTCTAATCTTTCTTCGTGCGTGATTGAAAATGGAGACCATACAATGCTGCAATATTCCATTATGGACATCACATAGGCAATATATGGTGTTTTAATTGTGTATGGATCCTTAAAGTTATTGCAAAAGCGCATATGAATGTGAATGAATATAGGCCCTAGACAAACACAATTTTAACAGCCTCCTCGATGTATTGCAAAATGTGGTACAAAGCATAAAAACGTTTCCTTTATATTGCTCCTAGAGTCCTAGATGCCAAAAAGAAAATTCGATTACAAATTTCTCCGAAATCCAACATGTTGTTCATTTCTCTCCCGGTTGTTGGCGCTCTCTCTCTCTCTCTCATGGTTAAAATGAATTTCCCCTCGTTCTTATTTCCACAACCGAAGCAATGAATTCAACACCCCCTAAACAACGACAATTAGTCCTGTTCCGACTGTTTCGCTATCAACATCAACCGTTAGCACTGTGGCACCGGAAGCTATCAGTGCCGATAAAAGTGGTAAGCGCCACCACCTAATAGACCACACGTGGCCATTGTGGGAAGTTAATGCTAATGGCATCCCGCCGGGTATTGTGAAGATGGCAAAGTGTTTGATAATTCAGTTGTTTACATGAGCCACGTGCGGCTCTGATTTACTGTGAACTGCTTTACAGAAAGGCACGTGCAATCATGTGAAAGTCGTACGAATACCATCAGTAATAATTACCACCATCTAGTCATCGATTGTGATAAATTTAATAATTAAGAAAATAGCATCCTAGTGTAGCGCAATATCCCTTACATTCGCCAAAAATGTTCTCCATGGATACGTTCGATTTCGAGGCCGTCATGAGCCGGCATCTCTTTGATGGTCCAGCCATGCAGCATCCACAGCATCATCATCATCATCATCATCATGGTTTACTGCAGACTGCCTGCGTAGATTCAACTACTTCAAATAGTTCGGACTATTTCTTTGGAGATGACGAAAACACTACGGACAGCGATTCGTTTTGTGGATTCAACAGCGACCAGGAAAATAACGATGGCTTGAAAGAGTAAGTCTCAGAAAATCTGCTCAGAAGAGGATAGACATCATAAGTAATCTATTTGAAGGTTTTTTTTTTAATTCATTCTTATGATACAGGGGTTTTTCGTTTGCTGTTATGGGATTGCATTGATGATTGATGAATTGTAGCTATTGTAACAAAAAGCAACCACTCCTGTACATTTGGCGCTCTTGAACTGTTATTTTGCGGTAACAATGCCAATTCCTAAAAAAAAAAAACATGATTTCAGTTTATATTTTCAAGGTAAACATTAATTAGTTGATTCTAAGAAAAAATGTATTCAGTTCTACGACTCAAGCCCGCTTTTTGACGGGGTAAATTAAAAGAACTGAAAAAAAAAACACCAATTGAATTTTCCAAGAAATGCTTGGCAAGTGGTTGTAAAGATTCACTGTTTATGTCCTATTTGAAAGATTTTTTGGAATTGGTTACAAAAATATTCGAAACAATAAGGGGAAATGGATGTAATGTCGGTCTAAATGCCCCTAATTTGGGCCCATACATAAATTCAGCAATCCACTCAATTTTCAATAGCGACCAAAAATATCCATTAGTACCGTCCTAATGACGTGTTGATCTAGATAATATTGATAAATATATCCGTAGGCCAACACTAGAGCCATTTCCCCTATGTTGAAAAAAATTGTGCAGTGATTTTCAGTAAAATTGAAAAAAAAATACACTGAACTTCAAGAAGAAAATTTCATCGTGAAGAGATTTAAATTGAACGTATTTTCAGACATTTGTTGCAAGAGTATGGTCTTAAATTATGGTTTAAGCTGACCAAGTTTGTCTGAAAATCACACGATCGGGAGACAATTAATAAAAAAAAATTGTAAAAAACTGCTCTAGAAAAACTTAATTTAACTGATCTAGATAAAAATAAATTCGTCCATTTTTTGCCTTTCACGTACACTGCACAGTGGGCCAAGAATAAAATCTAACAGGAAAAAAAATATTGCTCTGGGATTACATCCAATTGAGTTGATGTCTTCAGCAAAGTTTCTTGATTTAGTTAGGATTTTTAATTTGGTGGATTAAAATATATCATGTTTTTGCCGCAAAGATGGCGCAGCGAGACCAACTTTCTTTATTTCGCATGCTAGAGGTTTGCTGTTTTGGGCAAAGTTGTAGTACGTAAAATTCTATGAAATTTGTTGAAGACATAAAGGCAGTACATCTTTAAACAACAGTGATAGGGGAAATGGCTCTAATGTTGACCTATAGATCTAAGATTGGGCCCATCGCTAAAAATCAATTTTATTTATATTGATCAATTTTATCTAGATGAACGCGTCATTGAGACGGTACTAATGGATATTTTTGGTCGCTATTGAAAATTTAGTCGATTGCTGAATTTATGTATGGGCCCAAATTAGGGACATTTAGGCCGACATTATATATATTTCCCCTATATTTGTAATTACATTAGACGCTGTGTTTAATATTTATCTTCTACAAATAACGTTTGCAAGTAGATTAGGGTGTTTCTTGACAAAAATAAATTTTCGTGGTTCGTATCTGATGAAAGCGACATAAACGATCTTTCGATCTTTTGAATCGGTCAGAACAAAGTACCCAGAGCAAAGTGGATCTCCTGATTTTTTATGATCTTTCCATTGACACCCACGATGTTGAATAAGTGGTAGCCACATACAGATCCACTTTCCCGTGGAATTATTTCTCCCCCGGCTCTTTCAAATATGTCCTCGGCGTACTCAGCTGTTTCTTCATCTCTGTTGGTATATGTACTATGGCTTAGGCTGTCCAGAAAACTTTCCTGAAGGACATTTAATATGTTGGAACAAATATTAAGTGCTAATAGTTATTCAATTCAATGTTAAGAATACCTACCATCGTGCAAGCTGTTGCTACAAAGATCGCTGTCACTGTTGCACCAGTATTGACGGATATTTTCATTTTTGATTTGGAGTAAACAGACCTTAGCAACGGGTAAATAGATTAGAAAAACTTCGGCGCTCAACAGTGTTGCCGTTTTATATAATATTTCTGGTGTCATACGTCAGCATAGCATCAGCATGTGCCTTAACGTGCCGAACAGTGTGTCATACTGTGTTTCGTCACAGTGTGCAGAGTTGATTCCCCATTGTCAATTCCAGTATTTAGAGATATCGACAAATTCGCAAAACCTCGACTTAGAAAAAAAAAATACAATTAGACAAAAATAAGATCCTATGCTTCGATTTATTTGCGATTCTAGAAATTTGATATTAAATGTTTCATACTCAGGATATTTTTGCAGATGTCTAGGGTGGAGAACAGCTGTGGACCCAGCGAGACCCTATTCCAAGCATGGAGTAAACAATAACTTATTACGCTCATTTTTTGCAGTATGATGCTTTACACCTTAGGGCTTGTTTTGGATAGATTTCGGATGAATTTTCTTTAGAAAAACTCTGGCCTTGAAATAGGGTTTCGGGAGGCAAAAGACATTCTCCACACTATCTTAATATGGGATTGAAAATAAATCACATTAAAAAACAGTTATAAAAACCTGGAATGATTAATATAAATAATTATAATGTTCAATGACTTGACATAAAGACATTTAGCGATTAATATCACACTCCAATGCTGCATGTTCTTCCACGCAAACTTTATAATTTATAATTTATAATTTATTTCATTTCGTCAAGCCAGTGTAGACTAAATACAATGATTGAAACAATTAAGATAAACCAAAAGTTTTCCTAAAGTGACTTCCATAAAACTAGAATCACAACTAAACAAATACTTGAGAAACATCTAGATCAAATATCCACACGCATGTTTTTTTTTTAATCTCTGATAAAAGTGATTGATTGTTCAATTTTAATCCCTTCTTGCACTGACCATATGTGCTACATTTCAATTGGCTAATTCTATAATTTTCTAACAAAAGCTGAATTTTATATAGTCTTTTAAATAGCGACACAGAGAGGTACCGTTGTTTGTGGTAGAGTTTTAGACGGTGTAATTTTTTCTGGATTCCCATTTTTTTTGTAATAAAGATACCATTTCCGTGCGTACACCGAAACTGGGAAATGTAAGATTCTATTAGATTCTGTAATTTAATCGCCAGAGTGTTTTAATTTTGTAATTTTTATGTAAGCTTATTTTTCGAACATAGTATGTTCTCTAAATCCATTGCGTTTTGAAAATCATCTCACGATGTTTTACAAAAATACAGTCTTTCATTGCAAAACAGAATTTACTCCACACGCTCTTCGAAGTACCGTCGACCAAAGTGCGCCTCACAACAGGCGCAGCAACGGCAGGCTGCCAACCTCCGCGAGCGCCGCCGGATGCAAAGCATCAACGAAGCATTCGAGGGCCTGCGAACGCACATTCCAACCCTTCCGTACGAGAAACGGCTGAGTAAGGTGGACACCCTGAAGCTTGCCATCAGCTACATATCCTTCCTGGGGGACATGCTTCGGAAGGATAAAAACGGCAATGAACCGGGAACGATAAAGCGTGCACCCGTGAAGGAACCTCCGAAAAAGTTCATCGTTCGTGGTAGGTCCTCCTATATCAACTTGGTTTGTACTTATGTATGTAGGTAGGTATAATAGCGTGATGGGTGAAAATAAGGGAACATGTCACTTTTATGGTTCCGTTGTTTACGAAATCGCTATGAAGCGAATCAAATTGAGAGCCGTGGCGAACGAATCATCACGAAAAGTATCCTCCCTAGCATTATTGCTGGTGATATACATTTGCGTCTGGAAGAATTGATCGCTTTCGTATTAATCCACGAAACCTCCGGTCCATATGGATCAGTGTAATAATTATTGTTGAATAGAGATGCTAAATTAAGCGTAAACCGTGACTAATTCAGTGCAGCTATCTCCCTGTCAGGGTACGAATAAATAGAAGTACACTGATAGGCAAAATAAAGTGCCCACCCCATCATTTTTTGAATTTCTCTCATTTATTTGGTTCAAATTAAAGTAAATACACTGTAGTATTTTTTATATCTTATTCTTTATATTCTTTTTAAGTTTCACTTATAGAATACCAGATAAAAAGAAGAGACTGACTCGAAGAAAAAAAAATCAAAATGGGTGTAAAAAAGAACAGTGACAAAAAAAAGTGCCCACTGCATTTTAACTCCAGAAAACATAAAATAAAGTAAAAGAATACCAGCCTAATAGTTAATGTGTCCTCCTTTGGCCTTCAGGACCAGCTGCAGGCGCTTCGGCATGCTCTCCACTAGATTCTTCAGGTGCTGTGGATCTAGTTCTTCCCAGGCGCGCTCCAGGGCTTCAAAATAGTTATTTTTATTGGTAACACCAGTTTTGTCAACCCTGGCATCGAGAATCGCCCACAAATTCTCGATGGGGTTGAGGTCCGGGCTTTGTGGAGGCCATTCCAGTGGTTTAATTCGACATGACCGGAAGAAAGACTTAGTCTTCTTGGCAGTATGCTTCGGATCGTTGTCCTGCTGGAATACGAATTTCTCCTCAAGGCCCGTCTGGATCAGCGAAACTTCCAGATTTTCCCGCAGGATGTCGATGTAGGAATCTGCCGTCATTATCCCGTCGATTTTCACCAGGCTTCCCACTCCACCCCACGAAAAGCACCCCCAGACCATCACATTTCCTCCTCCATGCTTCACCGTGCCTTGTATGTGGCGCTCCTGAAGCTCCTCACCCGATCTACACCACACACGAACCCGTCGCTTCCGGTTGAACAGTTCGAATTTTGATTCGTCCGTCCAGAGAACCGTTTTCCAGAACTCTAGGGGCTTATCAGCATGCTCCTTAGCAAACTTAAGCCGTTTGACTTTGTTTGCCTTGCTGATAAATGGGCGCTTCCGAGCAACTTTGCTGTTCAACCCCTGTGCTACGAGACGGCGACGAACAGTTCGACTGGAAACTGTTAGCTGAAGAGCCTCCTGGATCTCGCGGACAGTTACCTTCGGGTTCTTCTTCACTTCACGCATGATCTTGGTGTCCGTTCTCGCATCCGTTTTGCGCATCCTGCCTCTGCCAGGGCGATCCACCACTGATCCGAACGATTTCATTTTCTGCAGAATTTTCCCGACCGCTGTTTTGCTGATATTGTACTTCCTAGCGACAGACCGGTGCGATTCACCGTTTTGCACATCACGAACAACCAATTTTCGGATACACACGGGAATTGCTTTCGAAATCACTACGTCCTCCATTTTTTTCAACTGATTCAAATGCGATCACGTGTACAAATGCACCAGTTCCACCCGTTTGCTTCAATACATGTCAAACTTTCAAAACAAAAACAATCGAGGGGTTTTCCGATGGAAACTTATCGAAAACATACCGATTTTTGAAGTGGGCACTTTTTTTTGTCACTGTTTTCTTTTTCAATCCAAATTGATTTTCTTTTACTTCAAGTAAAACTTTATATTTTCAGTATTCCATAGGTGTAACTTTAAAAGAATAATAAAGGTAAGACATCGAAACAGACTACGGTGTGTTTATTTGAATTTGAACCAAATAAATGAGAGAAATTTCAAAAATGATGGGGTGGGCACTTTATTTTGCCTATCAGTGTATAGGGCAAAGCTTCACCGATTTCGATGACAGCGTGTTTTCTGGTCGCCACAATATGGTTCAAATTATAGCAAATGTTATTTCAGAATGCAGCTGGTCGTTGGAGTGTGTCAACGTCAACGATTGTACCTAATTGCTTGAAGTACACTGAACAATTTCAATAAAACTTCGTATTATTTTCTATGCGTCAGGAGTGATTCTATTCGAATCGTCCTCATTCAAACAGAGGAACAATTTGCTCAAATTCTAAACCACCTGCAGATCGATACAGATTTTCCCACGTGTCGATCGATATCCGCAGTCGTAGTGGGAGTGGGCAGAAAGCGATAACCCGCCATCCAAATGCATCAAAAGTGGGTGAGAAATTCTTTCATCCCAACCAACCGGTGCGATAGTCGGTATAGGCATATTCCCATTCCTCCAAGGAGGATGGGCCAAATTCTTGGGATTCTTCTGCGCATGTTCACTGTCACTTGCTGGTGCAATCAGACGTACAATCAAAAAATGGATGGGGAGTTTCAAAATGGTTTTCTTTTTCTGTCTTCCACACTAGTACCGACTTACGATTTTTGGGAGCATCGCAATGCTAACACAGTTTCATCGTGAAAATTGCATATTGAGAGGAACATTGTACATAATGTACTTCTCCATAGAGCAATCAATAATATGTTCCTCGACTTTTGTTGAAAAAAAACATGTATGTACAATAAACGGAAGGGATGTTGAGCAGCTGATAATGTTTTTAATAACTTGGAACATTTTTTTTAATTAAAAAATCATAAAATGTGTTTAAAATTCAAATAGAGGAAAAACAAGAGGCGAATGCACAAAAGAGCAGTTCCAGCCAAAATAACAAAACAAAATTGAATTTTTGAATCGACCTTCTCCGATTTGTATGAAACTTTGCGTAATTGTTTGTTATGGACAATGATTTACATTTTTGATAAAATGCAGCAATTTTGGATCTTGTAAAATTTTCAAAATAGCATGCTTGAAAATTTTCAAAAACTTGTTGTACGGAAATGACATTTCGGATCGGAATGACGTTTGAGACAAAGTGGTAGAAAAAAAATGTCTTTCTGAGAAAAAAATGCATTTTATTTATTGTAAGTAATTTAAATTAAAAACCCGAATATCTTTAAATGTCCTTGCCGGATTTAAAAAAATACAATTTAATGAATAAGCGTATAAAAATGCAATCTTTTAAAATGTTTAAAACTATGGACACTTGAAAACTGACAAAAATCGTAGAACAAGAACTTTTGGTAAAATTTTAAAACTTATAGTTAGATAAATTTTGTGTGTGTGTGTTTTTTTTTTTCTACAGAAAATAAATTAAAAATTGTTTTCTGAGTATAAAGTACATGAAAAACACAAAATAAAAAAATTACCTTAAGTTCTTTTTCTACGGATTTGCATTTTTCATAAGCTGCACAAAAAATTTAAAAAATCGAACAATTTAGAAAAAAATTAAACATTTATTTTCTTCACAACTTTTGTTCAAAAGTGTCCTTCCCGTGTTAAAATTTTCGAAAAAATTGAAAGACGCCATTTTGAAATTTTTACAAAATCCATAACGAACATTTATGCAAAGTTTCATGCAATTCGGAGATGGTCGATTTTTTCCGATTCGTCATTTGACGTGGAACTGCTCAAAATGGAGGAAAGAGCTCTAATCAAACAACAATCAACTTATTTGAAAGCAGTAGCAGAACAGTATTGAATTGAAGCTTTGTAAAGTTTATGACAAGTGCTTACATATTACTGTGTACTTATTTTAGGCGCAGAAGTCTAATGAGGTTACGAAATCTGCAAAAAAATATCGCTAATATTAATGAACATTTCAGTTTCAATTTTTTAAATGTGATGATTTTGAGAATTTGTAAAATGTCTTCTGCACTTTTAAAAAAATCGCCCAAATCTGAACGACTACTTGTTAGAGCAGGAGTTCCTTAGGGTAGCATTCTTGAGTCTATATTGTATAACATTTTCACTACGGACCTCCATGCTTTGTCTCAGGGTTGCCACAAATCTTTGTTCGCTGATGACATAGGCATTTCCAATAAAGGAAGGAGTCTTCGTATTATTAGCAGACCTTAGAAAAGTTTAGATATTTTCTCTTCTTATTTACAAAAATGGAAAATTTCTCCCAACGCTTCCAAAACTCAACATATAATATTTCTACATAGCGCTTCCCTTTTGAAACCTACACCCAACCGGGGGATGTAAGATTCGCTTACAATTCGCATCATCAGAGGATGTTAGTGGAGACCGCATGAACTGAGGATGCGATATACCTAGCTGCGGTCCAATGCAAGAAAATTGGAGACCGAAAAATGTAGAGTGTTTTAGTGAGGAAAATTAGTTATGTCGAAAAAAATTGGAAACAGACTGCCGACTTGGCTCGAACCACGAACGTTGCGATTATCAGACCTGTGTTTTTTTCACTGCTCTCTCCATGTTTCTGAATATGGATAGCCTAAAAGCAAATATGAAGCGCTCATTTTCTCGCCTACTCGACTTCGTCTGCTTTTTCTGCTGGAGATATTCGAGGCAAGTGTGTGCGTCGTTCTACTATGTTCTACAATGTGCGTCGTTCTACAAGCTCACTGGTATAGTCGAAAGCGTAGATAAAACACGAAATAAAAAAGACAAAAAATCATTACATCGCCTACATGGTCAATTTCTAACATTCGTTGCGATGTTCATGAACAGAGGATGCTAGGAAACGGAACTAACATTCATTGTAATAAATTTTTGGTTTGCGTGTACTAGTAGTCACATTGTCACTATGAACGGAGTTCCAATTCCTTGGTAAAGTAAAGTGAAATATCTGAAAGATCACACTGAAGGCATTCAAGTTAAATGTAATAAACATATAAAATGTTTGTATGCTCTTATAAACAGAAAATCCAAGACGAATAAACTTCTAATATTTAAAAAAGTTTTTAGACCGGTCATAATTTACGCTGGTTGTGCCAA